TTCACATAAAAGTTTTGGAGACTTGAAAATGGGAACAACAGACATTTAAAATGTTATTGAACCAGAAAAAAAGCCTTTGCTGGCAGGTACTTGTATAGCAATATACTGATAACTGTGGGATAAAAATAAAGGCATCCAGACATTATTACAGAGCTCAGCGCTCTCCTCCATGAAATCAAACTTCTAATTTGAAAGAAAAGAGAGATCCTGATTTTTTTTTTCTTTCTGGTTTGGACATTAGGAAAAAAATTGAAAATGAAATTTTAAACATAAATGTAGTTCAATTATTTAGTCCAAGTACCTTCTTAGGCATATCATCCCATTTACTTCTATGCAAATATACACATATACACGGAGGAGGGTGTATAATCTGTGCTTTGACATATAGTCCCCAAAGTATATATTATTTATTCAATTTATGTCAGTATAGCTGTCATCATTGTTTCTTATGTAGAGATTACTTTTTTCAAAACAGGTATCCATGCAGTGGAAAAATAGATAAATGAAAAAACTCAGTGGAACTTCTCCCAGTGGGACCAATTCAAGTATTTAGGTGTTTTCTGAATATTAGCAATTGAAGAGATATCAAATTAAATACTCAGGTTCTGGAAGTTGAATTGGATATTATTTAAGGAAGGGGAGAAATTCCTGTTTAAATTATTCATTTTACATAATTCAATCATATATTTAATAACTCAACTCTTATGCAATCGTTATGTCTTCTGGAGTTACTATAGTATTATCTAATTATGTGTTCTATTATATAATATGCTAATCCAGGGGATCCTAAAGAGTGTGAGGACAAAAAAACAACAACAAAGAAAACTAGTTTATAAGAATTTCCACTGAGTCATGCTTTGCTATGAGTTTTTTATTCTCTTTTCCAATTACTGGCATTAGTCAAAATCAATATCAATCTCCTGTTCCATTTCAAAAGAAAAGAGACTTTTCCCAATTAGTTAAATTACAATTTGCAGAATTATTTTGCGTCTCCTCTCCATTAAGGTCTATAGACTCTTCCTCAGAAGGAATTTTCAAATCTTAGAACGACTCCCCCCAACCCCCTCTTATTCCCACTGCCACTTTCTTAGTAAAACTGTCATTTTGTGCACCTGGACTATTGCAATATTTTTCTAGTGGACCTCCATCTCAGCTGGCTACAAACAGTTTTTTACATTGTTTTATAACAGATATGATCATGTCATTCTTGTGCTCCAAAATTATCAATAGCATCTGAATGCCAATTCAACACAGACCCTATTCCTTAGAGCAATATTCCAAAGTCTTCACAAGCTGGGTCCATCTACAAACACTTCTACCATTTCCCACACTAAACAGGAGATTTTCAGAATTATGAATTTCACTGACTTATCATCCCTTTGTATTTCTACACAAATACATATTCTAAACTAGGTGTTTAAAATACTTTCAAACTTTTTTATTTTTCCAAGTTAAGAAAACACAAAAAGCCACTTAATATCACTATTATTATTTTTTAAAATATGTTATTGATTTTTAGAGAGAGAGGAAGGGAGAGGGATAGAGAGATCCATCAATGAGAAAGAAACATCGTTGATTGGCTGCCTCCTGCACTGGGGATTGAACCAGCAACTGGGACATGTACCCTGACTGGGAATCAAACCAGTGACCTTTTAGTTCATGGTATGACACTCAACCACTAGCACACTTGCTGAGCATCATTACTTTATAAATGTGGATTCCTTTTATTTAGTTACATATATGAAAAAAAATTACTTTGTTCTGTCATATATTTTTTTATGTATCAGTAACATTTGGCAGAAGTGTATAACAATGATAGTATTTGGTAATCACAGCCCTTGACTACTCAACATTCCTAAAATACATGGTTGATAATATTATGACTCACAGATTTATATTAATTACTAGAGGCCCGGTGCATGAAACTCATGCTGGGTAGGATCCCTCAGCCTGGCCAGCGGTCAGGGCGATCAGGGCTGCAGGAGGTTAGCTGGCTGGGGGGTGGGACCGTGGAAGGTCCCTGCCATCCTGATCAATGCCTAACTGATCCCCTGCAGGCCTGGTCCCCCGCAAGTGCCCTCCCCTGCTGGCCTGGTCACCCGCAACTGCCCTCCCTGCACTCTCTCTAATTGGGGACATCACTCTCACAATCTGGGACTGCTGGCTCGCAACTGCTCACTTGCCAGATTGCCCCTACCTGCCAGCCTGATTACCCCCTAACTACTCCCCTGCCAGCCTGATCAACACCTAACTGCTCCCCTGCAGGCCCAATTGCCCCCAACTGCCCTCCCCTGCAGGTTTGGTCAACCCCATCTGCCCTCCCTTGCAGGCCTGGTTCCCCCCAAGTGCCCTCCCCTGCTGCCCTGGTCCCCTCCAACTACCCTCCCTTGCAGGCCTGGTCTCCCCCAACTGCCCTCCCCTGCTGGCCTGGCCACCCCCAACTGCCCTCCCCTGCTGGCCTGGCCACCCCCAACTGCCCTCCCCTGCAGGCCTGGTCCCCCCCAACTGCCCTCCCCTGAAGGCCTGGTCCCCCCCACTCCACTGCCCTCCCCTGCCAGCCTTCTTGTGGTGGCCATCTTGCAACCACATGGGGTGGCCATCTTGTGTGAGGGTGTGATGGTCAATTTGCATATTGCCTCTTTATTAGATAGGATAAGAATGGCTGAAAACTGAAAGAACTGTTTCAAGCAAGATCCTGGTGGGAAACAGACACAGTCAGGGATTTAGAAAGTTTAGCAGAGCAGTACTTATAGGGATGGGCCAGCACTAAGGGATCTACACGGTATGCCAGGGCTTCCAGGGCTGCAGGGAGCAGTATGTGCTCTCAGACGCTCAGGCAGGCCTCTTGGAATTTTTGAGGAAGAAGCTGGAATGCTGATGCCTTAGCAGAGAACAGAGAAATAAAAACCCTAAAGTCTCTCTTCCACTGATTGCTTACTAAGGCCTAATGGATTGCAACTGATTCACCTGGACACTTCTGGGGAAAAAATGTTATGAAAAAATGCTATACATAGATAGATTTAAGACTGGGTTCCTAAATTCATTATTGAATGAAGAGGAGGGATAGTTTAAAATGATTGACTCAAAATTATCAGGCCTTCCTCCCTTGAGCTGAGCTGGAATCAGTACCAGAATTGCATTGTTCTTATGCAAAGAGGGTGAGGTGATGGAAGAATGAATATTAGAAGAAAACCATGATATCAAGAATGGCATTTTACATTTATTATCTCATTTAGTCTTCACCAGAACCCGATGAGGTTGGCACTTTGCGAAAGCACCTTTATCTAATCCTTAGTTATTCATGATGCCTAATTCCCATGGTTTGATTGATGTCAGATTTTAACAAAATCTCCTGAAATTTGCTCTTGCATTCTCTCTCCTAATTTATTGTAACCCAGGAATTTAGAAATCATAATCAAGAAGTAGGAGGTTCGTACTGGTATCCACAGCGCACACTATACTACATTCATGTCCCCGCCCCCTTACCTGAGTGGGAAGTCCAAGACCCCCCAGTGGATGCTGCAAACACAAGCAGTATGATTCCTATATACGTTCTTTTTTTTCCCTATACACACATACCTATAAAAAAAAAGTGTAATTTATACATTAGGCACAGTGAGAGATTAACAACAATAACTAATTATAAAACAGAACAATTATAACAATAGACTATAATAGAAGTTATGTGACTGTGGTCTCGCTCTCAAAATATCTTATTTTCCTTTTCGTTTCCATTACCCGGGGCTTCAGTTTTAATAATGAAAGAACAATGTCACGGTCCAGACTTTTGCATAGTGCCTGGCATTAATCAGTGGGAGTCAGTACCTTTTTACTAGGGAGAATGGATCTAAAAATTTCATTTAATAACATTTTCATTAAATGAGCATCTCTCGCGTGGCTCTTGGAATTCTCGCTAGGATGCCCTGCACTTACTCTCCCGCCCCTAAGAGTTCAAAGGACGAAGTAACACCACCTCGCCATTTCTCCAGTTTAAATGCTTCTAAGTACCCGGATTAAAGTGGAGTTGTTAGATTGACAGCGACCTCGCCCAATAGCATTGTAGGGAGGCGTAGCATTTCCACAGACACGCCAATCAGCTCGCAGGGAGCCGCCGCCGCAAACGGAAGTCAGGCCCTCGCGCGCCGCCATGGAGTCGCTCTCGCAGCAG